ATATATTATATATATATATATATATATATATATATATATATATATATATATATATATATATATATATATATATATATATATATATATATATATATATATATATAGCCAGTAATATATCTCTATCTACACAATCTCTTTACGTCAGAATCAAGTTAATCCGAGTTTCAAAATTTATCTTTAGTTTATCGATTTTATTTAGAATTCTTAGTTAAGATTTTGTATTTGCATTGAGTTTATAATTGAAGTTTATTATTTTGATTATTTTTCTCGAAGTAAAACTTTCTTAAGGATGAAATGTTTTCTTTTAGTTTACAGACCTAATAATAGTATATCAATCTTGTTTGTTACATTGGATTTATACGGCAATAATAAAAATTCTTTTTTATAATAAAAAACTAGTGTAAAACCGATTATCCGGTTTTACAATTTAAAAATACCGAAAAACGTTTTTTTGAATTTTTCTGGTTATTGCCAACCTATCATGAGATCATATTGAAGTTACGTTTTTAACGTTTTGATTTTTTTGACATAATACCACAATCTCGAGATTTTTCAAAAACCGATATCAATGTGATGTAATTTAGATATCAAAAGTTTCTTATAGTTTGATATTAAGTCGTAATTTCATTTTGATCTCATGATGATATCACAACAATACTTGAATTTATTTATCAATAGTTATGATATCTATATGATATCATTTTGAGATAATTGTTTGATATTGCAGCATGAGAAATTTTTGATATCATATTAATATCATATTGACCTCCTGCGTAGATTGGGTGGTATTATAAGTTATGTAGACTTTGATTTTGGAGTCTGTCCCTGTTTAAAAGAAAAGTTAAAGAATTTTTTGAGCCATTCTGTTAGTGCTTCACAGTTCGCATTCTTTAAATGTTCTGCTGATATTCCAAAGGCGTTCTTAGATTTGTTTAACTTAAGGCAAGAATTAACCGTTTTTATATTTTCATCCAATATTATTTACTCTTCAAATTTTGTTCAAGCTGGAATTTTTAAAGTTGTATGTGTATGTGATTGCTTTAACTGTAGGCAAATTCTTTCGTGATGGAGTCTTTATATATTTTTTTTTTATGTATAGTGTACAATTTCGAATTGGCATTTTTTTTTATATTTCTAAAAAATTTCCAAAAATATTTTGAATTCGAGATTTTTAACATTTCTGATATATGACGTATATAAACGTTTATGAATGATATAAAAACGATACACCATATATAAACGATATATGATGTATTGTTTAACAAACGTGTATGATAAAAAAAATTTCTCATATATGACGTATATAAACGTATATGACGTATATAAACGATGTATGATGTATGGTTAGGACTATTGTTATTGTTATTGTGAAAATTAAATACAATAACAATTACAATACAATAATATTGTGTTGTAATACCAGAGATGCAATTAAATCATTATTTATGGTTGCAATTAAATGCATTATTTATGGTTGCAATTATGATGCAATTAAATCATTATTATGGATTATTGCTGTGAATAAAAACAGTTACAATAACTATTGTATTGTTTTTTTTTTTTCTTACAATACATTGAAGCTCTAAAACTATTGTATTGTATTGCTGTGATGTAATACAATGACATTAACTATTGTATTGTATTGCTGTGATGTAAAACAATCACAAAAACTATTGTATTTTATTGCTGGGATAAAACACAATTGCAATAAGTACATTGATGTATTATATTACAATTTCAAAGTCTATTAGCTATTGTATTTTATAGTATTTAGACTCTTTTTTTACGCATTTATTATTATTTTGGCACTAGATAATTTAGGGGTGCCCGTGATTTATATACAAATATATAATTTATTATATGCTTGTAATTAAATAGTTATTTACTTTAAGAAGTAAAATTTTATATTTTTTTATAATTTTGTCTAAACTGATATTGACATGTTTTACCGGATGATGACGTCTAAACTAATTGATTAACTACATTAAGCCCTTTTTTTTTCAATATATCTAACCGCTAATGTGTAATCAATTACATCGTTATGGAATCAAAGAACCATTAACCTGAGTAATTATCGATTAGATTGTCTGAAAATTAACTACTACTTAGGTTTTGTTAAAAAATTTTCTACATTTTTCAGATTGTTCATCACCTATCAAACCGTTCCAATAAATTTTGTGTCATTTTTGAAAAATGAGGCAGTTTAGAACACCAAATAAATATTGGTTCTTGACTTATGTAACAAAACTCTTTTGTAACTTTGCAACTAGTTGTCCAGTTACTATATGAAACACATACAGCCATAAAGCCTAAGGGAAACAAAAGACAAAGTTATATTAGAGTAAGAGTGAGTTGAGTAAGTTTCGAAACAATTGGATAGGTGCCTAATGTAAAAGCAAATAACTTAGTGGATGAAATGGTAGTAGTTAATCATGTCTATCCTCAGCAGTAAAAGAAATACAGGCCCGATTAAACTCACTTTTATAGGGCTATATAAAGTTTATAAAATAGAAAGAAACAGAATCAATACTTATATATTAGTTGTACCCTATTTCAAGGTTACTTATCTCAGAGACTCGATTGTTAAAACGTTTATTAAATTTTGACTCTAAAATAATTTTTTTTATTACAATAACAATATATTGATATTGTATTATAAAGACGAATTACAATACAATATTTATTGTTATTGTAGTGGGTCAATACAATACATTTTTTTTTTTCAGATATTGATATTGTTTTATAAAGATGAATTGCAATGCATTATTTATTGTTATTGCATTACAGTATTACAATAGTTGCAAATCACAAGTATTGTTATTATTTCTAAATTAAGGTAATACAATAACAATAGTTATTGTTACTGTTGTTGTTTTTATTACAATTACAATAGTACTAACCCAAGTATGATGTATATAAACGTATATGATAAAAAAAATTGTGGTTTAGATTTAACCTTTTATAGCGTTTTATCATATAAAATGAAAACCGGAAGTTCATGCCACTTTTCAACCGAAGTCGCAATACTTGCCTAGAGGTGGGGTTTGAACAAAGGATCCGCTGTTTCTGAAGCAAGTGCGCGACCACTGCGCCACTACTGCTTAACACATTTATGCTAATATGTACAAAAGGCCTTCATATGTGTAAAAAAAAATGTTTACATTTCAAATTTATATAAAACTTTTTTTTCAGTTGATTGTTTACAATAGTTTTGTAATCAACATAAACTAATTAAAATTAACACACTAAACTAATTTATATAGTAAATAATATAGTCAATAAACACAACAAATTAGTTATTTTTGACGTAAAAAATTTAAAATTCAATTTTTAACAGATTTACCGTACTATATTAAAATACTTTTTTTAAACATCTTTAGACAATTTGTTGGCATAGAATCATTATCTAGCGTGTTCCATAGCAAGGTTGCTCTGTATAAGTTACTTTTTATGATCTTATGTTTAAAGTACAACAAAGACTTAACGGCAGGGATTTTCTAATAAAAAGATCTAACATAAAATCTGGATTTAAACCATTTATAGCTTTAAAAACTTCAGTTAACAAAAACCTTAAATTTCAAAGGTGGATACTTGGATTATTTTCTACTTTTTGAATTTCTTCCAATGGGAGATCAAATCTTTTATACACAATGCGATGTCCCTTTTTATTAATTAGGTTTTTATTACACATCGAACAAAACTTTTAAATCAAAGAATAATAGGAAAAATTTGACAGTATAAAAGCATAGAATAAAACAGTAGCTTGTTTTACTCTTAAGATGCTCCTTATTCGTGAAAAACCAAAGCATTTACTATTCGCTTTTTCAAATAAAATTTTAATATGGTGATCAAGTTTCAAATCCTTATCAATTGTAACCCTGAGAAGTTTAACCTTAAAAGAAACCATTATTTTTACATTTCTAAAAAAAGTCGAAATTTGTCCGGATTTGCAACCATTTTATTTAAAGTAAACCATGACTTAAACATTTGATTTTTCTAATTGAAGACAAACAATAACATTCTCTAGGTTGTTGTCACAAACAGTCATCAGCATCAGTCATCAGCAACAGTCATCAGCATCACAAAAAGTCATCAGCATAGTTGCAGATTTCAGAGTATTGAAAAAAAAATATCGTTGATAAAAATATTAAAGAGAATTATTCACAAATAGAGCCTTGAAGAACACCAGATTCTATATCTAAATATTCAAAAAATGACAATCAATGTCTAACCTTCTGTTTGCGAGCAGAAAGGTAACTTAATACCCAGCTAGCACACTTAAGGCGGTTCTCCACTAGTCAATATTTTTTGCTGCTCCACATGCGCAGATTAATCAAAAATTTCGTGCGCAAAAACGTGTCAATCTCCATATGAAAACTAAAGCGTTTTTTGCTTTATTAAAAGTATTACAATTTTGCGATAAAAAAAGATGGAAAGTAAATATTTTTACTTCTTCTCAGAAAGATATAAATGAATATTTATATATGGCAAAAAGAAAAAAAAGAAGAAAAAAAAACGTTTTTGGATAAGAAAGATTTATAACGAGAGAAAGTTAAAGGGGGAATATCAAATTCTTTTTAATGATTTAACACTTTATGATCATGGAATTTTTTTTTAATATTTTCGAATGTCTCCTTCAACTTTTGAAAAACTTTTACAAATTGTCTCGCTTGATATAACAAAAGCTAATAAGAAAATGCGTTTACCTATTTGTGCCCAAGAAAGACTTGCTATAACAGTACGGTATTTGGCAACTGGGGATGCGCACACTACAATAGCTGCTAATTATCGAATGTCAACAACCACTGTTGGTAGAATAGTATATGAAACTTGTAATGCTATTTGGAACAACTTGTTAGGAGAATACGTAAAAGCGTAAAACAACTTGTTAGGAGAATACGTAAAATTCTGAAACTGAGTGGGAAAAAATTCCCAAAGAATTTGAAACCAGATGGCACTTTCCACATTGTGTTGGTGCAATTGATGATAACCATGTTTAAATGTTTGCTCAAGTTAGATCAGGATCAAGCTATTTTAACTATAAAAAGACACATAGTATAGTATTGATGGCTGTCTCTGATGCGAAGTACTGTTTTATTTTGGTAGATATTTATGATAAAGGCAGACAAAGCGATGGAAGTGTTTACAACAATAGTCAATTAGAATTTGCCATAGAGAACAACCTTTTAAAAATTCCAAAAGATTCAAAAATATCTAATAATTCTGATAAAATTATGCCCTATGTTTTCGTTACAGATGGCGCATTTAGATTGAAAAGATACATGATGAAGCCCTATGCTTTTAAAAATCTTTTAACAGATAAACTTATTTTCAACTATAGACTTAGTAGAGCGCGTGGAGTTGTTGAAAATGCCTTTGGTATTGCATCAAGTAGATGCTGTGTTTTGCATAAACCAATAATAGCTAATGTTGAAAATGTTATTGCAGTAACAAAGGCTGTAGTTGCTTTACATAACTTTTTAATGACTGAAAATATAAACAATAATAACAGTTACTGCCCTTCAAACTATGTTGATCAGGATGGACCGAATGGAATACAACTTGGTGATTAGAGAAAAGAGGTGCCGAGTGTATATGGTTTAGTTGTTCTAAACAATACCTCAAATATCAACACTGACACTGCAAAAAAAGTAAGGGACTCTTATAAAGATTTTTTTAATCAAGAAGGTGCAGTAGGTTTGCAATTAGATATTGTAAAGCGAGTAAAATGAAATTAAACAAAAGTTTATTTAGATTAAAGATAATAATAATTAAATTTTCGTTTTTAAATCTAACAAAATACAACTTATAAAATTCTAAATATCTTCATTTTCAACTCCAAATTCTATTTCAAATAAAAGTTTATTTATTTTTAACTTAGCTAATCTTGCCTTTTTTATTGGTAATCCTTGCAACACAGGAATGAGACTATTACAAAAAGCAGACATTTCACAAAGTGTTTTGTTTTTTTCTTCCAAAGAATCGACTATGCGATTGTCAGGACCTTTCATTTACTTTAAAAAAAGTTTATCGGATTTTTCTATAATGATTTCCTTTTTTTATTTAAACGTACATCTTTACATTTCTCGCTTGAATCATCTGCAGTGATGGAAAGACAAGAAATAGTAGGGGAGGTTGTTTGTTATGTGGTAAAACTAATATTACTCTCAGTCAAGTTTTTAGAGTTCGTCAATCCAATCCTATGTCTTTTGGTTAATGATAAAATTGTTACCGATGGAACTAAAAACATCTGGCAAATTTACATTAGTATAATATATGTAAAAACATAGCAAAAAGTTGATTGTTTTTACGATCAAAACCCAATGTTGATCCAATGTATATAATTTGTCGTTGATTAAATGTATATAAATCAACATTTTTTCAATGTATTTAAAAATATAGAAAAAATTTGATTCTTTTTACGATCTAAACCCAACGTTGATCCAATGTATTTAATTCAATATTGATTTAATGTATATAAAGCAACTTTTTTTCAATCTATGTAAAAGTATCGTAAAAAGTTGATTTTTTTTCACGATCTAAACCCAACGTTGGTACTATGTATATATCTCGACATTGATTCAATGTATGTAAATCAACGTTTTTCCAATGGATGTAAAAACATTGCAAAAAGTTGATTTTTTTTTTACGATCTAAAACCCAACGTTGATCCAATGTATAAATTTCGACGTTGATTCAATGCATATAAATCAACGTTGATTCAATGTATGTAAATACATACCAAAAGGTTGATTGTTTTTGCGAACTAAATCCAATGTTGATCTAATTTATACGACCAAACATCGCTAATATTTAATTATATAATTTAAATAAAATCTTCGGTGGTTATTAAAATATCAAATCACAATCAACACAAACATGATTTCTGTTCCAATGATCAAGCGTTAGCAATCTTATGCATGTAATTTTGTTGTTTACGTTAGCTGTGTACATACATACATACATACATACATACATACATACATACATACATACATACATACATACATACATACATACATACATACATACATACATACATACATACATACATACATACATACATACATACATACATACATACATACATACATACATACATACATACATACATACATACATACATACATACATACATACATACATACATACATACATACATACATACATACATACATACATACATACATACATACATACATACATACATACATACATACATACATACATACATACATACATACATACATACATACATACATACATACATACATACATACATACATACATACATACATACATACATACATACATACATACATTGCCAACTAAAGTTTAACGTTGAATCAACGTAAGTCAACGTTATGCTAACTTAAAATATAACTTTGGGCCAACGTATAAAATAAAACGTTGATTCAACGTAGAAAATATAACCATTTTTCGATTTTAATAAAACGTTTTATCAACATTGGTTTTTAGTTGTTAGCGACGTTGCATTTGTAACCATAATAATATAAAAACAACGTTGGCAACCGATGTTGGGCCAACGAAACGTGCGACATTGTTCTTATGTTTTAACAGCGTATGTGCGCTAGCTCGGTAAGAGTTTGAGGCTGTCGTAAAAAATACCTTCTACCCAGTAAGCACAAGACGCACTTTAGACACTTATAGACGTCTAAAACTAGTCTAGGTTAAGACGCACTTTTATAGACGTTTTAAAGACATCATTTAGACGTCTTTCGTTAATGCGTTTTTAAAATGACCTTTAAAAGGCGTCTTTTTTAAAGATAAAAAGACGTCTAGAAGACGTCAATTTTTAAGACATCTCCTAGACGTTTTTAATAAATGCGATTTTAACATGACATTTAAAATGCGTCTTTTTAAAGTTTAAAAATACGTTTAAAAGACGCGTAATAAATAGTCGAAAATACGCATTAAAAGACGTCTAAATTAAAGCTAAAAGACGTCTTTTCTGAGACCTGTTTATAAATATGTCATTATGACTTCTTTTTGACGGCTTTATCATTACGCGTTAAGTAGATGTTGTATATTCAAAGTAAAAACATAGTTTTTATTATTTTCAATAATTTGGTCAAGTTTTAAGTGTAAATTACTTTAAATTAAATTTACACAATTGCTAAAATTGTTGTCACAATTGCTAAAATTGTTGTCACTTTTTTACACAATTGCTAAAATTGTTGTCACAGGAATCACTAAAATAATTGCTATAATAATAATATATCTTTTTTTTATTAATAATTATTTTGCTTTTTTAATAGATAGTTGACTGATCATGATAATAAGTGAAAATGGCAAGAATAATATATAAGTTAAATATCAGTACTTTTAGTTTTTATACACCCACAAGCCATATAATAAGTCAAGTATGCGGTCAAAAATTAGCTATCAAAACGCATGTTAAAAAGTTATAAATAATATTTTCATATATATTTGTTTAAGCGTTAAGATGCTTAACAGTTGCTAAAATGTTTAAGAAATAAGTTAATATAAAAAAAAAAAAAAAAATTCCTGAATATAAAAGAAATTGAAAAAATAAAATCTCATAATTAACACTAAATGAATATATAACATCATCACTTATGACATCATCAATTGTGACATCATCACTTGGATTTCTTATTCCTTTTTTTTTTTTTTTTTTCCTTTTTCTTTCTTTTCTTATTCATATTATCATATATCATTGATATAATTGAATCTGTTTTTTTTTATTTTTTTTATTGTGTTTACTTTAAAATAAACATTTAAAGTCGGATTTATTCAGTAACAATAATAATCGTTTTGATTCATCCTTAAATTGCTCTAATGTAGTCTGCTTTTTGTTAACAATATCTGGAAATTTCTTCCACAGATAAGGTCCGCGGTATTTAATTGAATAGGAAGTTAATTTTAATTTATGTTTTGGAACAACAAAATTGTTTTCTGAAAACTTTGTTGAGTACCTATGGTTAATTTTATTAAAATAAGATTGAAATATTTTAGGAGACAATTCCTTTTTTGTTTTAAACATAAGCAATAAAACTTGGTGTAAATTGAGTTTATATACATTTAAAGCACCGAGCACACTTAGAAGTGGTTCGCAAGGAACATTTCTGTCGGCTCCAAATACTATTTTGCATGCATGTTTTTGTTTATTGTAGATTATTTTTAGTTTTGTATGGCTAGTACTAGTCCACACAACATTACAATAAGACAAATAACTGTGAATAAAGGCGAAATATAATTTTTTCAGAGATGATATATTTAGAAAGGATTTAGCCCTAAACATCATTGCAATATTTTTTGAGATTATTTTTTCAATGCTATTTATATGTGAACACCATTTTAAATTTTCATTCAATTTTACTCCTAAAAAGTTTATGTAAGATTCCCTTTTAATATAAGTTTTATTAATATTAAGATCTGGTAATTTAAGAGGAATATTTTCTAATTTATTTACTTTATGGAAAAGCATATATTTTGTTTTTTCCGCATTTAGTGAAAGTTTATTACTTGCGAACCATGCACTAACATTACATAACTGTTCGTTAACTATTTTAAAAAGTGATTTAATATCTCTGTGAGAACAAAAAAGATTTGAATCATCAGCAAACAAAATTAGGTCTAAAAGATTTGTTGATAGGTATAAGTCGTTTATGTACAATATAAATAAAAGTGGTCCTAAAATAGAACCCTGAGGAACCCCGCAAGTTATGGAGTGTGGAATTGTATTATTTTGATTATAGTATAAAAATTGCTTTCTGTTAGTCAGATAATCTTTGAACCAAAGTAAGTTTTTATTTTTTACACCGTAGTTTTTGAGTTTTTTTATTAGTATATAGTGATTTACGTTATCAAAAGCTTTTGACAGATCAATGAAAATTCTTAATGTAAAACAGTCATTATCTAAGGCATTAGATATTTGATTGGAAAGTTCAACTACTGCGTGTTCAGTGGAATTTTTTTTTTAAAACCAAATTGTTTACAATACTTATTCAGAAAAGGTAGCTGTAAACCTAAAAACAAAAAATCCGTTGAAAACTTTTTTAACTTTTAACAAACTTAAGCTGTAACACTATAAAAACAAAGTAGTTCTAACAACAAAGAACAAAGTAGTACTTATAACTTGTGCTAGCAAATTATTTTTTAAGCAATAGATTTGAGCTATAAAACGGGATCTAGAGATTTAAAATTTACCTCTACAAAATATACGCGAATAAAATGAATCATAGACTCTTTTTTACATTACGACAAAAGATGTTTCACAACGCATTTTTTTATTTCCGTCAAAAATCCAGTTTTGAAGCAATTCTGCCCCAATGTCAACTTTATTACTCTTCAACTGAAAGTAATATCAGTTACATAAATTATGGTAACACTAAATCATGGTAACACTTTGGGGGAGTACTGTTAAAAGTAAATTTAAGACTTCTTTATCGTCGTCAAAAACATGCGATCCGCATAATTAACTATGTTGATCGTTTTACACATACAAAACTTATTTTGAGCTCAATGTATTTAAAGTTTTATGTTTTGTATATTTATGGAGAAATAGTTTATCTCCTACCGCTTTTAA